ATAATCTGAGGGGAACTATTAGGTTATATTCCAAGTATATAGGGAATGTGAAAAGTACACAGCCATAGGTTCATTCACCCTTCTGTAAGGGTAAGAAACTATTAATTTGGAACATATACTAATAGCAGTGGCTCTCTAAAATTTTGATAACATTAAATCATAGTCCCTTTCTTCTATATGGACACTTGCCTTTTTTAAATTATTATTAACATACATTATTTGTTTCAGGGGTACAGGTCTGTGATTCATCAGTCTTACACAATACACAGTATGGACACTTTCTTTAAAACTAGTCTCCTTTAGGGGCACCTGGGTGGCACAGTCGGTTAAGCATCCAACTTTTGGTTTCGGCTCAGGTCATGATCTCAGGGAGTCTGCTCAGAATTTTCACTCTCCCTCTCTAAAAATAAAAAAATCTAAAAAAAAAAAAAAAGCTACTCTCCTTTAGAGAAAACAACTGAATTTCATAAAAGAATTCAACTAATTTGGGAAATTGTCCTAAAAAAGAAGTTGTGTTCTTACAGCAAAATCCAAAAGAATGATCCCTTTAGATGTGTCTTCCTACTGATTAAAGTTCCCAATATTTTAGTGTTAACATTTGAAATTTATTTTATCACTTTCTATTTATATAGCTTACTAAGTGCTAATTTTCTTAAGAACACTCTATCACACTAAAGCTTAATTTCAATAAATATGCAATATTTAATGTCATTAATAATTGAAAGAAGCCAATTAAAACAATTTTATGCTTTTCAATTACTCTAGTAGAAAAAAAATAATTTTGAGGACCGTTCTCAGATCAGTGAAAGCACAAGAAAAACCAGCACTTCTATATATAAAAAGTGGGAGTAAAATTGGTAGGATCTTTTTGAATTCACAAGTATTTAAATAGCCCCCTCTCCCACAACTCTGTATCACATCACCCACCTAATTTTTTTCCTTCTTAGCACTCATCACTTTTTTTAAAGATTTTATTTATTTTTTTGACAGAGAGAGACACAGTGAGGGAGGGAACACAAGCAGGGGGAGTGGGAGAGGGAGAAGCAGGCTTCCCGCAGAGCAGGGAAGCCAGATGCGGGGCTCAATCCCAGGACCCTGAGATCATGACCTGAGCTGAAGGCAGACTTCTAACGATTGAGACACCCAGGTGCCCCAGCACTCATCACTCTTAAAATCTAAAAAGATTAAAAATTCTTTTTTTTTTTTAAAATATCTACCCCATTAGTGTACAGGCTTCCTAATAGCAGAGGCCTTATTCACTAGTGTATCTGAGCCTAGGACATCTCCTATCACAGAGTAAGTGTTCAAAAAAATCTAATAAATAATTGCTAGTCCTAGAAGTATTACTTTGTGTTTTTTTTGTTTGTTTTTTTTTATTTATTTATTTGAGAGAGAGAATGAGAGAGAGAGAGAGAGCACATGAGAGGAGGGAGGGTCAGAGGGAGCAGACTCCCCGCTGAGCAGGAAGCCCGATGCGGGACTCGATCCTGGGACTCCAGGATCATGACCTGAGCCGAAGACAGTCGCTTAACCAACTGAGCCACCCAGGCGCCCGAAGTATTACTTTGTTTTAAAAGTAAACACAAACAAAAACTTTTGGAAACAACCTATCTGTCCATCAAACCCAGAATGATTACATACACTACGGTACTTTCATTCAGTGGAATACCGAGAAGTTTTTAAAAATAATATGGCAGATCTACAAGTAACTAGAATGGAAAGATCTAAGGCACATTAAAATGAAAAAAATAAGCTGTCAAATACATCCGTATTATATTTTTGTGTTGAGAGGAAAAACACATACACAAAATTACAGAAAAACTATGGAAAGATAATACCTAATTGGCAAGTAGTCAATTCTAGGGAAAGGTAGTAGCATTTGGAAAGAGACTGAGAGTGGTCAAGGGTAACTTTAGCTCCATTTGTTTAATTTAAATATTCAAATCATACATTACATACTCATGCAAATTGCTTATATAACTATGCACTCTTTTTCAAATTGATTTCTAAGAGAAATCAACATATATCAGTCAGGGTCCAATCCTGTGTCTCACATAGAGGAAATCTACTATAGAGACTGAGTTACAAAAAAACAGAGGAAAGTGAGTCAACTCATAGACTACCAACAGCAGAGAGTTGCTGGGACTTCTTGAACTAAAAGGGCAGTAAGATGAAATAGTATCACCAGATCAAAGAAGCTTAGGATGGTGTTAGAACCACAGTGGGATCTGTTCAGTGGTAAGTTGGACCACAGAAGAAGGGGCCATTAAAGAACTGCTGCTGGAGTTGGCTCAAAAAAGGGGTGGAGAAATAAGCTGGCTTCCTTCCTCATTTCATCAACCAATCTTCTCTTAGCACCTACCATAGCCAAATTCAGAAAGGAAGTGGGTCTAGTCAAATCATCACACTGTATACTTTAAACTCACACAATGTTATTTATCAATTATATCTCAATAAAGCTGGGGGTGGGTGGGGGAAACAACAAACACATGGAGAAAGCAAAGGAGCCTAGGAAATGTAATCCCCTGCAATATAGAACAGAGTAGGGAAAAGGCAGGGATAGATCTGACAGCAAATTGGCTGACTAGCATAGTCAAATTATCAAATGTGTGCCCTACTTCCTATATTCTATGGCAGCAGATGATACTCATGGTGGCTCAACATCTATTTTAAGCCTTCTTTAAGAAGTAAATAAGAGAACCTGGTTTGAGGGAAGTGGAGGAGGAATTAGAAGTACAAAATACAATAATGAAAAAAAAAGTAAATGATCAGAAACACTGTATTATTTCCTAGAACAGCAAATATACCAAAATAAGTCACATGTATAGATTATACAAAATTTCATTATTGCAAATCTCTATACCTGGGAGGAATTTCTGGAGATATGAGACACAATAAGTTTTGAAAAATAAAAGTTCAGCTTAGGAAGCAAGAATTTAAACTTATGTTTACCAATATGCATTTTGAGGGTTTTCCTCTAAAACCATTTTAGGGGCACCTGAGTGGCTCAGTCAGTTAAGTGTCTGCCTTTGGCTCGGGTCATGATCCCAAAGTCCCGGGATCAACTCCAACATCAAGTCCCGCATCGGGCTCCCTGCTCAGCAGGGAGCCGCCTTCTCCCTCTCCCCCTGCTCATGCTCTCTAATAAATAAATAAAATCTTAAAAATAAATAAAACCATTTTAAACAAATATACTTAAAACTCGCATCTTTTTCAAAAAGAATGAAGCAAAAATCTAGGTAGGGAGCTAAAAAAGAACAGCTTAATAAAAATGTCAGTATATGGAAAGAAAAGCCTAGTTTCATTTAAGCATTCTACTTATCTTAGACTATGAACTGGTAAACTTTTTCTATAAAGGACCAGATGGTAAATATTTTAGGCTCCAGAGGCCTTACAGTCTGTGTCACAACTACTCAACTCTGTGAAAGCAGCCATAGTTGACATGTAAATGAACAGATGTGACTCTGTTCCAATAAATCTTTATGGACATTAAAATCTGAATTTAAGTTTCTCCACGTGTCACAAAATATTCTTCTTTGATTTTTTCCAACTATTTAAAAATGTAAAAGTCATTTTCAGCTCACAGGTCATATGAATAGAGGCAGTGAGTCAAATTTGGCCAATGGATCATAGCTGCTGCTGTCTGGTCTCAGACAAATAAAGTCATAGAGCTCTACATTTGAAGATTAGGTTTGGGTCCCCCCGTCCAAGTGGCTACGGTGTTTAACTATTTTAAACTATTAAACAAGAGCTAATCTATCCATATTTTTATTCCAATGTATCAGCAACAGACAAGTTTTTAACACAGTTGTCAGACTCTAAAAAATTATACGGTCTCTAATGCAAAGAATCTATGTAAGTACATTTAACCTATGCAAAAACAAACCAGAACACTTGAGAGTCTGTCACTATATTCTATTTTTTTCAAAGATTTTATTTATTTGAGAGAGAGAGAGTACAGGCAGGGGTAGAGGCAGAGGGATAAACAGAACCCCCCCGCAGAGCAAGGGGCCCAATGTGGGGCTCGATCTCAGACCCCGGGATCATGACCTGAGCCAAAGACAGCCGCTTAACCGACTGAGGCACCCAGGTGCTCCTCTGTCACTGTATTCAATCAAACAAAGCTAATGTAAGAAAAACCTTGGCCCTAACATACAGGCATTCCATTCCTTTGGCTCACATCTGTGACAAAAGAGTAACCAACTATTAGCTCACAAGTTCTGGTAAGGGATGTCAGTGCCATTATTTGTTTACAAGATTGCAAAAGCATATGATCTACCTTTCATTTTAGAATAAAATAATAAACTCTAGGCAATATAATCTGAATGCCTCTGACAACCAAATCTCAAAGTCTCCAATATAGAAATACAATTGCCGAAAGAATTCCAAGTTCATCCATTGTTCTACTGATCTTTAACCAATACTGTCTATTAGAAAGTTTGTATTTTTATAGTAGAGCTTCAATCCCTTGTAGAATTGTACTTTCTGAATCTTATTTCAACATATCCCTATAGTTTTGCCCAAAAGGATAAGAAATTGCTGCATAAAACCTAATACCATATTTACTATAAAAAGGACTACAGAAATTTTCATCTAGTGTATCATATATGACCTTTTTTATGAGAACCTATAGGAGAAATTTCTCAGGCACAGTGCCATCTATGAACTCTTTTTATAAGAGATTTGTGTGCCTTTTACCTTATAGATACTATATATACTATAATCCAGTATAAAATTCTCTTTTATTTAGCTGTAAAACCAAGCCTTCAACGATTCAGCTCTGGTAACTGTGTAGACTATGGCATACGTTTGTATGTACTTCTATAATCAGCTCCAAGTCACTAAATTTTTTTCCCCTCAAATTTTCTTTTGAAAAAAATCCTCACACATTATGCTTAGGTAAACTAGCTCAAAGTGAGACCCAAGTATTCAATAGCATAAGAAGCTATTACACACACGTAATATAGACATCAATCAACTGGGGGGAAAAAAAAAACTACCTCAAACAACTGCAATTTGTTCTTTGTGTGGCTTCAACAAAATCCCAGGATGCTACTTTATCAGGTATCTCTTCTTCAGACAGACCACCTGATGAAGCTGAATATTTCCTCCTAAGATTTGAAATTATAAAATTCTTTAGAATTCATAAGGTTTTCTATAACCACAAATAAAGCATTAAAATTAAAGTTTAAAAAATCAGATTTTTAAAGTCATACAAATGACTTTTTATACTTTAAATATCTATATACAAGTAACTACCAACATGCAATATTTTAAACTTGAAAATGAAAACACGTACTTGTTCGGTGCTCTGTTCATATTGCATTCTTGCCAAACTCTATCCACCACATGATTTGCTAATTTTCTGGGTATTTTCCCACCGTGATGGCTAGTACTATCAGAGTTGAAGCCATCAGATACTGAAGAAAATTTGACCCACTTCTGGGCAGACTGAGGATCAACTGAAAACAAACAAAAAAGAATAGGCTATAGGAGAATAAAAGTACATTTAAAGTAATATTATTTGGGTTTGGGTTTTTTTTTTGCTTGTTAATTTGTTATACAATGTACTCCACCATCTATCTGGTATGCCTCCATATATTTTGAGACAAAAAAAATGTTACTTTAAATACAGAAAGCAAAAAATCCAAAGAGGATGTAAACTCGATGGTAGTGTTATATCAAAGCTGACTTCCTGACTCTGAGGATTAAATGACAGTTATATAGGAGAGTGTTCTTAAATTTGGGAAATACACTCAGTACTTGGGCGTAATGAGGCATTGTGTCTGCAGCTTGTTCTCAAATGGTTCACAAAAAGGCCAATGATAATGAATGTATACATCTAGAGAGGGTGATGGAACAAATGCTGTTTTGAAATCTGGATGAGAGAGTTCTTTGTATACATGGAAACTCTTCAGTAAGTCTGAAATTACTTCAAAATAATTAAGTGCTGATATATTCAAAACAACAGATTTATAACCAGTGCTAATGAAACAGATTAATACGATACCTGTTTGGACTTCCTCAGGAGACGTAGGTGGTGTAAGAGTAACTGAAGACATAGCAGGATCTCTTGTGGAAGCAGGCACTTGGTGGACACCCAAGCAAGAAGCTGAACAGTGAGAGGATCCCACAGAGCTAGGAGTAGGAATGTCTGACTGAGGGACTAGAACAAAGCATGCTGGGTAGATCATTCGGACACCAGCTGAAAGGAAAAAATAATGGACGAGAAAATAAATTACCACTGTGACTATAGTGGGATTAGTTTCGTTCAAAAGTACTATAATGGAAAAGCACATACTGTATTTGTTTAAATAAAATAAAAATATATTTAATGTATTTTTATAAATATATGCTCCTTTTGGCAGAAGGTTTTTGGAAGAAACCATAAGAAAATGTTAATACCTTTAGCGGTAACCTTCAGTGAGAGACTTCGAAGCAAGCAGCTTTCTCTTCATTTTTGGATTTTCTAATCATGAGAGTGTGTTACTTTTAAATCTTTATTTGTAAATTTGACAAACCATAATGTATATTACTTTTTAAATTTTGTTAAAGTTTAACAAAGGTAATCTGGACACTAGAATTATGGACCATTTTCTGCTTTCTTCTTTACAGGTCTTTTACTGAAAGCCTAATATATGTTTGTGTTTTGTTTCTGGTTCTTTCACAACTACCCTGGTAGTAAAGCATTTATTGAAGTTCAATACTGGTATTCTTTTTATTAAAAAAACAAAAAACAAAAAACACCAACAACCCGTGAATAAGGCAATCTTCATATATATAACATTGCCACATGTTTCTATTAAATACTGCTGCAGATTCTAATCCTAATTACCTGTTCAATTATACATTCCCCACACCTCCCCCATCTCTCTAACATGGAGTATACCTATTCACTCCACTCTTAGGCTTGGCTGTGTGACCTGCATATGATATACACCAGATCCCAACAGAAGCTTTAAATGTGCTTGCAAGATCAGTGCAGCCTCTCTTATTCCTGTCTTTTCCCTAAGATGAGCATGTCCCAAATATAGTTTACCTTGTTAATCTGGGTCCCTGAATGAGAAGACACAGAGAAGAGCCAATATGAAAAGAGCTGACCTGGGCAGAGCAGATCAAAGCCATGAGTTCTTTAGGTGCACTTTCTACCTTTTAAAAATTATCAGAGGCAACAGTTTCACCAAATGTTAAAATACTACGTAACAGGTTGTCAACTTTCCAGCTTCCAAATGTTACTCATTCACAGTTATCTTCTTCCCACCTTTAGCATGCTTACCTCTAGGTGGTATATATTTCCTTGCCCCAATGACTTTGGCATGGCAAAGTGACTAGTTCTGTCTAATGGAGTGTGAGCAGATGTAACATACATCATATCCTAGCAGAAGCTTTAAATACACTTACATAGTTACACTCAGTCCTTATTATTCCTCTGTTCTTATAAGAACAGCAGGTCCCAGAGAGTGGGTAATCATGGAACCTAGGTTGTAGAATGACAAGATACAAGGAGCCAAACCACAACCAACCTGTAGCCCTTATGTAATGTGAGGAGAAAACAAAGAAACAAATGCTTACTGTTGAAAGCCACTAAGGTATGGGAATTATTATTCAGCAAAATCTAATACACAGTCACATATTTTTCCCTTAAAATTAATACTCAGAATCCATACCAACAAGAACTTCTACTGCAGCTAAAGAATCATCTTCCCAATCCATATCTTCCTGTTTTTCTTCAGACATCTCCTTTAAGCAAGATGAGATAGGATAAAATTGCTTCCATTCACCAATCAATTTTTTGGTAGCTGAATCAGACATCTTGAATGCTTGTCCTGTTAGAGTGCCATTTAGTCCAAATGGGCTTAAGATTACTAGAGACCCAAAAGAGATATCGAGTAAGTAACTAAAGACTGGTACACCAGATAAGATCACACTGAATAGTTTGAAAAGTAATTATGCAATCTAAAAAAGAAAAGGAAACTCTTAACAGTCATTTCAGAGAAAAATTTATTATACTTCATTATTGTGAAGATAAAGCACAATATTTATTATAAAATCTCAGTATTTTGTCCACCCAAAAAATCGCACACGGTTAGAGTTTCAACATGAGTGGGGTTATATGTATATCCTTCAACTTCTCTTGATTTCCAGTAAGGAAAAGCAATTTGAGGAAAAACTGTATATGTGTGTATGTGTGTATAAATCTAAGTACTTTTATTATGTACTGCCATGTAATTTTTAAAAAGTAAATACTAGGGTTAGAATTAAAACAAGAACACCTTGTCCTTAAAAACAAATCAGCAATCTTGTATAAATATCAAAGTCCCCGTGTACCAACGTTAAAAATGGCTTATGTGACTGGACACAAAAGATGACCTTGAAAACATAAACATATATATCTGCTAAATGTTATTTAAAAGAACACTTTAAAACATGCTATCATTCATGTACAAGAATTTTATTAAAAAATATTTGTATTAAAAAACTTATTTCATTGACTTAAAACTCTGGAAAAAGAAAATAAACTACATCAGAATCATCACTAGGCTAACGATCGTGGGAAATCTCATTAATGCCAAAATTTAAAATTACCAATTGCAATTAAGAGTTTTCTTGAAACAATAAGAGATCAAATATCTAAGCCAGTAAATAATCTACCTTGAAATGGGCTATTAGACTGTTGAGCAAGGGTGATATGCTCTTCACTAAGAAGGTATACAGGTTGATGTTGGTTAATTTCCACACTCGTACAAACATTGCTGTCTCCATGCAAGAAAAAGGTGAAAGAGCAGGACAAGTGTTCACTAATAAAGAAGAAAAAGTTGTATTTTAGTGATGATTAATAGCGAAAATATAAGTTAACTTGCTTTTCTTTATTAAGAAGCTATACTACAAAAATGCACATTTCTCTTTAACCCAGAAGTTCTACTTCATCATCTGAAGGGGGGGATGAGAAATCACAGATATAAGCAAAGATTTAGTTTTAAGAAATGTTCTTCACAGCACTGTTCATAGTAGAAAAAGCTGCAAATCGAGGAAATCAGTAAACAAGTTAGGTACACCCACACATACCCTTATAATACAGCCACCAAAATAAGTAAAGGTAAAGGGGAAGTGGGTTTAATGGAAAGGGTAGGCTACCAAAATAGTACAGTTTCAATTTTTTTTTTAAATTGAGTGTAAAAAATCTAGGTGTGCAATCAAATTACGGATGACCTAATTTTTATTTTCCCTTGTAATTAAGAAATTAAATACAATTATATCTTATTTTATTATTTCTGAAATTGGGCTACATTCAGTCAACCATTTAATGTACTGCCCTCCTCTGACCCCCAAGAATAAGTTATTTTAAAAAAATGATGGATCTTACAACTGAAGGCATCCTAGAATCGAAGCTATATGCAAAGCAGAACATCTTATGAAATTTAGATATGGCTGGGAAAATAAAAGTTCCCAAGAGGAAAGCACAACAATCTTTAGGATAAAATACAGAAAGGTCAAATGGCCTAGAAGAGGAGACTGTACAGCAAGAAGAATCCACTCTTATTTCTTTTCCACACATTTATCTTAAGAATTTGTCTTGGGGCACCTGGGTGGCTCAGTCGGTTAAGCGTCTGCCTTTGGCTCAGGTCATGATCCCAAGGTCCTGGGATCGAGCCCCACATCGGCTCCCTGCCTCGGCAGGGGGCCTGCTTCTCCCTCTTCCTCTGCCTGTCCCTCCCCCGGCTTGTGCTCGCTCTATCTCTCTGTGTCAAATAAATAAATAAAATCTTAAGAAAAAAAAAAGAATTTGTCTTAAAGAACCAGTTCTTTAAAATATAACCATTAATAAGCTGAAAACCTGTTGTATCTATCTATAAAGCCCTCTTGAATTATTTCTGGACAAGTCAAGCGCACAAAAAATTAAGTTATAGTAAAAGTAATACTATAGCTAACAAAAGTGGGAAAGTAAGTCAGAAAGAGGTGAAGAGTAATGCAGAGCTGAGAATTTCATTTTATATATAAGGGAGCCAAAAGATTGTCTGAAGTTGACAGAAAAATCAAGAAACTGAAATTTAAGCATATCACTCAAGTTAAAAAGATAACCAGAAAAACTGACAATACTATCACTAATAAAGCAAATCTTATCTTTCATGGTAGAGAATCAGTAGATACTGTCTAAAGTTGATTAATCAAGGTCTAGAGGTATAAAGCATCTCTGTAATTATGGCAGTAACCACTAGAAGTAGGAAGCAAAAAAGTTAAAAAGATGGAAAACTAAACCTGGTTACTTCTAAGGAATGGGACTAAAGCAATTAAGCAGGGATCTTTAGAGGTTTTCAAAATTTGTAATACTCTATACTGCTTGAACTATATTACTTTTAAATTTTTAAAAATTATGAATTCTTGGGGCACCTGGGTGGCTCAGTCGTTAGGCATCTGCCTTTACCTCAGGTCATGATCTCAGGGTCCTGGGATCGAGCCCCGCGTCGGGCTCTCCCTCTCCCACTACCCTGCTCGTATTCCCTCTGGCTGTGTCTCTCTGTCAAATAAATAAAATCTTTAAAATAAATAAATAAATAAAAATTATGAATTCTTAGGGTGCCTGGGTGGCTCAGTTGGTTAAGCATCTGACTTTGGCTCAGGTCATGATCTCAGGGTTCTGGGACCAAGACCTGCATGGGGCTCTCTCTTCAGCGGGAAGTCTGCTTCTCCCTCTCAAATAAATAAAAAATCTTTTATAAAAATTATGCAATGATTACTAGATCTTCCCTCACCTCAGAAGCTTTTGTTGCTTTTTTTTTTTAAATAAACTTATTTTTGGAGTAACTTTAAATTTACAGAAAAGTTGCAGAAGTATCATAGAAAGTTCCCATATACCCTTTACCCAGTTTCCCCTAAAGTTAAACATCTTACATAACGATGCTACATTTGTCAAACAAGTAATTAACACTGGTACATTGATTCCAGTCTTTATTTAGATTTCACTAGATTTTCCACTTAACCATTTTTCTGTTTCAGGATCCAATCCAAGATACCACACTGCATTTAACCAATACATTTTTTTCCCGCCAGCCTTGCTGAAGCATAACTGATAAAGCCAAATAGTTTTTAAATAAGAAATAAAACTAATTATTTGAATTATTTATTAAATATATTAAGCTTGTTACTCATCTGGAACAGCTATTGGTTGAGTAATTACAAAGCCACAGACATTTGCTTTGGTATAAGAGTAAAATCTAAAATAATCCCCAAGAGAAGAGATTTAACTAATAACGTTGAGAACTGTCCATCAAAAAGCAGACTATTGCTAATGCCCATTTAAAATAAAGACAATTTTATTATTGCTTTCCAGCAGTGGTAAGGCACCCATACTGTAGAACAGGCGGAAAAATAAAAGTACCAAACACAAACCTAATTCCAAATGCTTAAAGCAAAACACGCACACACATTCAAAAGAACTCTGCATTAAACTTAGTATTATATTCAAATCTAAATGCACTATATACTAAGCCACCAAGTGAAAGCAAGTATTATTCCTTTATTAAACAAGTGTTTTATGGCTAAGCATATGGCACTATACTAAATACACATTTAATTTCAGTTATGTTAAGTGCTATTTAAAAACCAGGTACAGGATCTATGAGAATGTCTCAACAAGACCTAGATAATGAAAATAAACTTTAATTTCCTAAGTGGAAAAGAATCAAACTTGGGTAACAATATAAAAGTTAGTCTTATGTCTCATGTAACATTACATCAGCCTACCCACAATACCTATTTCTTCTCCAACCTCATCTCTTACTAGTAAGTCTTCCTTTAATACTTTTCCTTCTCAACTGGCCTCTCTACAGTTCCTTAAACACACCAGGCCTTTGTACCTATTGTTACTCAATCTGAAACACTCCACATATCTACATTCACCTTCATTAGGTTTTTTGTTCAGATACCTTGTAGTTGAAGTTTTCACCAATCATTCTAATTTAAACTGTCCCTTAATTCCTATTCTGGGATAGATTTCATTGGCTAAATAATAATCTAAAATTTTAGTTTATTTTTTTCTTTTAGTCCCCCCCGAATGTAAGCTCTATTGGAGGAGCAATCTGTCTTCTTTATTCAAGGCTGTCTCCTCAGCTTTTAGAATAGGTCCTTGACACATAGTAGGTATGCACTAAATACTGTAGGACAAGGTCTGTATCTGAGCAACTTATTTCTAATCAAACATTCCTTTTCTTATCAAGTCTGTACCTATATAGTTGTCCAAAGCTAGAAAAGTGAATCATTCTCAACTTCTTTTTCCTAAGCTCCCTATAGTCAACTAATCCATCACCAATTCCTACTGATTCTAGTTCTTAAATACTCATGATTCGTCAAGTTTTTTTTTTAAGGTCTGAATAACTATTAAAATCTCTAATTTATCTTCTTGCTTTTTACTGCTGCCAGCAATCTTTCTAAAAATTAATTCTGATCATGTAACTGGCAGGCTCAAAATCAATAGTTGCCCAAGGCCTTAAGGACTAAAAACAAAACAAAACAAAACCAAAAACCTTAGTATAGCATTTTAGACCTTTTGTTATCTGATCCTTGCTTAACTCTCCAGGCAGAGGTACTTAATCTACCAAGAACTCCTTTGTTACCACAAAATTCCTCCCCACTTCTTAATCTTTCTTCAACACTCCTTTATTTTTTTTTTTTTAAGATTTATTTATTTTAGAGAGAGGGAGAGGGCATGCAAGGGAGTGTGGGGCGGGGCAGAGGGAGAGAGAGTTTTCAAGCACTCCCCACTGAGAGAGAAGCCCTTCCCTGGGCTTGATCTCAGGACCCATAAGATCATGACCTGAGCCAAAACCAAGAAGAGTTGGACGCTTAACTGACTGAGTCATCCGGGCACCCCACTTCTACACTCCTTTAAACAATATCTCTGTGAGCTCCCATAATATTCTATGCTTATCGCAATGTCCACAATAGCCAAACTGTGGAAAGAGCCAAGATGTCCATCGACAGATGAATGGATAAAGAAGATGTGGTATATATACACAATGGAATATTATGCAGCCATCAAAAGGAATGAGATCTTGCCATTTGCAACGACGTGGATGGAACTGGAGGGTGTTATGCTGAGTGAAATAAGTCAGTCAGAGAAAGACATGTATCATATGACCTCACTGATAGGAGGAATTCTTAATCTCAGGAAACAAACTGAAGGTTGCTGGAGTGGTGGGGGGTGGGAGGGATTGGGTGGCTGGGTGATAGACATCGGGGAGGGTATGTGCTATGGTGAGCACTGTGAATTGTACAAGACTGATGAATCACGGATCTGCACTTCTGAAACAAATAACGCAATATATGTTAAGAAAAAAAGAAGAAGAAGATAGCAGGAGGGGAAGAATGAAGGGGAGTAAGTCGGAGGGGGAGACGAACCATGAGAGACGATGGACTCTGAAAAACAAACTGAGGGTTCTAGAGGGGAGGGGGTGGGGGGATGGGTTAGCCTGGTGATGGGTATTAAAGAGGGCACATTCTGCGTGGAGCACTGGGTGTTATGCACAAACAAAAACTAATGATGTAATGTATGATGATTAACATAACAATAAAAAATTATTTTAAAAAATATTCTATGCTTATAATATTTATCATAACACTATTATTTAACTAATAGAACTCCCTGCCAAGTTGTAAATTCCTTGATAAAAAATAATTATAACTTTAATATTGGCAGAAAATTGAGTTAGTGGTCCTAATTCTTCACCCCCTTCTTTCTCATTTCTTTAATCATGGTAAAAAACACAACATAAAATTTACCATCTTAATCATTTTTAAGTGT